ATTTTCTTTCTCTTTAATAGCACGATTTTTTTTCTCTTTAATACCTTAATTTACTTTCTCTTTAATACTATTTTTTTTTTTCTTTTTAACACATTGATTTACTTCCTGTTTAATAATTTGATTTTCTTCCTATTTTAAAACCAAAGCATAATTCATTTTAATACATGCATATCTCCTTTTATTTGAATTTTTTGTTTCCATTAAATGTTGAGCCATTTAATACCCAAAAAAGATTAGTATATCTAAATACAAAGAATTTGATTAGGGTTTATCAAATTATTGAAAGATTGTGATTGAGAAGAATGAGGTGATAAGAACAAATATAAGAAAATAGAGGAAGAAGAGTGCAAAAAAGAGAAGGGGGAGATGAGCAAATAAATCTAACAACATGAAAAGTAGATCTACCTACCAAACCCAAGCACTAACTTAATTACAACCACTCGTCTTCCTCACCAACTTGGTCAAATCCCCTGTAAAAATATAAACAAAAATTTATTTTCTTTTCAAAATAAAGAACAAAACAAAAGGGCCCCGAGTCAATTGCCAACCTTCATACATCACCCACCTCCCATTTATATTCTCTCTCTCTCTCTCTCTCTCTCTCTCTCTCTCTCTCTCTCATTCTCCATTTCCATATTGGATTATCTTGTCTGTTTTATCCAGCAACTCTCCATCTGTTTACCAATTAATTCGTACAGAAATAAAGAAGAGGCAGATGGGTAGATCTCCTTGCTGCGAGAAAGAGCATACCAACAAAGGTGCATGGACCAAAGAGGAAGATGAACGGCTCATCAACTACATCAAACTCCATGGTGAAGGTTGCTGGAGATCTCTCCCCAAAGCTGCTGGTATCTCATCTTTTTCTTCTCCTCTAATTTCCTCTCACTTTGTTAATCCATTCGTGTGTTTTTCTAAGTTGATTAATTAATTAATTTTATTTTCCAGGGTTACTTAGATGTGGCAAAAGTTGCAGACTTAGATGGATAAATTATCTCATGCCTGATCTCAAGAGAGGAAACTTCACAGAGGAAGAAGATGAACTCATCATCAACCTCCACAGTTTGCTGGAAACAAGTACGTATTTTTTAATTAATTCCTTTCCTTTATATACATATACATGAATTAATTAATGAATTCTAATCAATGTGTTGTGTTGTTCAGATGGTCTCTGATTGCTGCACGGTTGCCTGGAAGAACAGATAATGAAATAAAGAACTACTGGAACACCCATATCAAGAGAAAGCTCTACAGCCGAGGAATCGATCCTCAAACTCATCGGCCACTCAACTCAACCGCCGCTACTACCACCACCACCAGCACTCATCACAAAACAATTACTTCTACTAAGAACTTCCAACTGGAAATGCAAAACTCAGTGGTATTGCAGGTTCCGGTTCCAGGTAGGTCATCTACTATGAAGAAGATGTTAAATGGTAAAAGAGACTCGGTGGAAGAAGAAAGCTCCAACAGTAGCAGTGGCGTAACGACAGAAGAAGTTCATCCACAACTCAATCTGGAACTCTCCATCGGCCTTCCATTTCATCATCATGAACCTCAGAGATCAGTAAGCGAGACAAACCAGAAGAAGAAGCAGTATCTTGGAAGCAGTAGTAGCCAATTACCAGGAGTTAATCAAGTGTGTTTCTGTTATAATCTAGGGTTTAATAAGAGTCAGATGCAGGCATGTAGCTGCAACTTCATGGTAGCTGACAATATCTATAAATATTATACACCCAGCTTGAAATCTTGATAGCTTATATATCTATATAAAATATTTTTTGGTATGCTTTTTTGCTAACATGAAGGAAAGCCAACCCATATATATATATATATATATATATATTTATATATATATAGTTATATCTACAAACTAGCTTATGAGATTAATTCCTCCAAACTTTTTTCATTTTAGATTTGTTTTCTGGTACAAAGTTTATTTCCATGGAGTTTTGGGCTTCAATGTCTAATTTTTGAGGCTTTGAAGGAACATATATATGCATACATATACGCGTACATGCATATATCATTATATGTTACATTTGTTGGTAATTTTATGTGAAGACTAATTAATTTCTAAATTATTCTCTATGTTACAATAATTGTTTAATTAGGTTAGGATCATATCAGTTCTAAGTGTGAGATTTTTTATATTAAACATAATTATATATATATATTCATTCTTCTCTAGGGTAATTATAATTAATTGTAAATATAATTTAATTTTTATTTATAAAAAACAAAAAAAGAAAAAAAAAAAAAAAAGAAAGAGAAATGGTAGAGGTGGAAATGCGGCAGGTGGGTGACTTTTGGTTGGTAAGTGGGTGACGTCATCCACACAACTACTCCCTTTTCTTTTCTCATTATATGATTTAATATATTTTTTATTTAATTATTTAAAATTTTTAAATAAATCGGAGTTAGAAAAACTTTTAAGAAAATTTCAGTATTAAGATTAGTAATATTTAATTCTTTTTTTAAAAAATAATCTTAATTTTTTTCATAATATAATATTTGTTTATTATTACATCGTAGTTCATAATAAATTTGATATCAAATTCAACTTAAATGTTTTTGTAACTCATTTTTAACAAAAATTATAATACAAAATTTTTACATATGTAGGTGAAATCAAGAATTAATTAAAGATATAAATTATAATTAGTGTTTACATATTAAAAATTAAGATTTAAAAATAAAAAAGAAAAAAAAATGTCTCAACCAAATCAAGGTTATAATAATAATAAAAAATAAATCATTATACCTACATAGTTAATTATTTATATTATGGTAGTGGTATTTTGCTTACTACACCCTAATATATAACTATACAAATATAATAGGCTGCTTTTTTTCTAGAAGGTTTCTTTCTTTTTGTTTTCTAGAAGCTTAGGTGACTAAAGAATACACCTAACCTCTTTTTTTTTTTTTTTTGGGTTAATATCTTACTTCATTGATGAATCACACATGGTAATATCATTTTCTAATTTTCAAAATTAGTTTTGTACAATAATTTACATGGGTTATATAAACTATTATTTTAATTTTTAAAATTATTATAATTATTCTTAGACCCAATTTAGCTATTGTCTTATTAGATAGATTGAAGCACAAAAAATAGTGAAATTAAAACTAATTACCATGGACATGAACTTAGATATTCTAATTTTAAATCCTTTGAAACCTTAATGTACCGTAGAAATATGTATATTATGGATTAGATATTAAGTTTGAATTTTGGTGAACTCTAATTTATATTTAAAATTTAAAAATTTTAATAATAAGAGTTTATTATATGATTAAAGTGGTCTTATAAGATAATCATCCTACTTACGAGAAGGTATTTGCATTCTAGACCTCTTAACAAAGAGATTAATTTCCTATTTATTTATTTTAACTCGTTAAATTTAAGTATATCATTCAATTTTAATCGGTATAAATTTTAAAAAATATTTACTAATTATTTAATTAAAAATTTAAATGAAATTAAATTATTTAATTAAAAATTATAAACCATGTACATCACAAAACAAATTTATATACATTATTTAAACAACAAAACCATATAATAACAAAGAAGAAAACAGTGGCGAAACTAAAGTTGATACTAAAAAAAAAAAAATTCAATAATTTACTATTTTCTTGTGCATTATTTATTTATATTTTGATTATTCTACAAATATGTAAAAAAAAAAAAAATTCATGTTTGCATAAATAAATACAAAATAAAATATTATAAAATATTTTCTATGTACTCAACACAATCAAAGTTGCTTACAAATTTAAGATTATTTTGTTGGAAAAAAAAATTGTTTTGGCATGTAATTTGAAGCAACGTGTTTCTCTTGTCTACTTGAGAGATTATTTTAATACATTAATTTGGAAGATTAGCAGGTCAGCTACTATTTTTGGGTTGGTAAAGAAATTTCAATTACGTATATATATATATATATATAAAATTTTCCTTCTAGATCTTCTAATTCCTTTCCCAAATTTTTTAATACAAAATTTCAAATGGGTAAGATCGCATTAATCTTAAAAATGAATTTAAAAATTATTTATCTAAAAAAGAATTTTTAAGAGTTCGTGTGAATGTGGAAGACAGAGCGAGCTTTATGGATAAGAAGAATATATACTTTGATATTGAAATTACAATATTAATTTTAAATTATTAAAAAATATATATATTTTTTTTCTAATATTAATTTCTACCCTTTGAATAATAAATTATCAGAATTGATATTCTAAGATTAAATTTTATTGTTTTTAATTTAATTGTTTATTTATTTTCAAGAAACAAGTTTGGTGTACGTGTGGAAGATGACTCAATAATGCGTATGAATAAATTCAAACTTGCAATTTAATAAAACAAATATCCTCCCAATTTGACCAAATCGATTCACTTTTATTCCCTCCAACTATGAACCATAAAATACACACACATCCATATCCATTATCCGACACGGCAAGAATGTTATTCAAGAAATTCTTATACTACAAAAGAAGAAAGGGTCTAAACATAGTTCATATCATCAATTCAAGATATGGATATGATCATAAACTTTCATCATCTCGAGATGTGTTTTCTATCTTCGGGTCTGGTATATATTTACATATGTGAAATTTTATTTTCATTAATAAGTTGATAAAAAAAAATCTCATAACCAATAAAATTTACGGCGTCAGTTATCCGATTAATTAAAAATGATGATTATTTAGTATGAGACATCAACTCATCTCTATTCTTAATCTAAATGTGAAGGTTACCCCTGTTGACTTAAGACAAGAAGATTGGAACAGTACGGACATATACAGCAACTGTTTACATATTTTGATTCCCTGTTTGCTAAAAATTACTACCCCGAGTTGGACGACAGACATGATTTCTTTTACACGCATGTTCTTCGTTATGGTGCTGTGTTCGACATGCATATCCATACCAACAGTCTTTCCTTTGTGATGCATCTGGTGGTAGGAGCTGTAGCAGTGAAATTCAAACACAAATGTCAAAATTCCAGTGACAGTTAAACCACCGATCGAGGAAGATAGAGGAGCGATGCAATATGAAACACAGAGAGATTTATCTTTAGTGGTACTCATTTAGTGATTCTCACCGTGACAGTATAAAAAAACAACAGATAATGCAGAAACCATGATGGCGTTGCAAATAGGCATTGGGTATTACAATGTTAAAGTTCTCGAGAGACAAGAAAGAGTAATTTGACTTGAAAAACATATTAAAAACAGAAGCTTGGAATTAATGTCTACAGAAAAATATGGCAAATTAGCAACACTTACATGTCTGGGCATAGTAAGTCGAAACCAGTATAAAAGGAATGAAACCAATTTGTCATAACAGTCTCTGCGTCCAAAATAAAGTAGAAACAGACATTAGATAACCAAATTTAACTGATCACAGTAATATGATTATGATGAGTCCATGAATCTAATACATTTAAGAACTGTAATATGAGCTGCTCCCTAGTTGATCTAGGAGATCTACCATAGCCCAGAATCCACTTCCTAAAATAATTACAATGATCCATTGGTGGGTTATTTAAGTGTCCAGCTAATCTTCTTTGTAACAGACTATACAATAACACGCATGTTCCAGATCTCTTACTTCAGAAGACAGCAACATCGCAATTATATCCAACAAGAAGATAAAAAAGACTATTCTTCTCCCAAAAACAAAAGAAAGAAAGAGAAAACAATTTGCATGATCTGTTTTCCCCTGAAAAGAAACAGACATTGGTGAGCTTTTGGTCAATGTATAACAAGGAAAACAATGAGCATATCTTACAGAATGTGTCTTGAACGTAGCATTTGTTTCTGACAGGATCCAATAAGTGTTTGTTAAGTAAATTTTTGGCTTAAAAATAAAACAAGAAAGCAACTGTGACAAGATGAGAAGATGCCTCAAGTTAATGTCGCAGAACCTGCCCAAACAATAACATACTTTCCAAAAAGCCTAATTGTTGGATGAAAAATATAAATCCAAGAATAAAAGTCCTGCCGCTCAACCTGAGAGGCCCATAAAACTGGGGCAAGTTAATCCTCAGAACCTTCTTAAATGCTCCAAAGAACTCATACCAAATGCCTCATGTTTAAGCTCTCTTAGAACAAAGACTTACTTGCATGTATGTGTCCCAGCAGTTATCATCTCCGCATGGTTCAGACGCAACCTTGTCCGATCTGCACGGAATAATAGGCAAACCATCATATGAGACAAAATTTGAGGACCAAAGCTTATTGGAAAAATTATTTTACATTTATATTCAGAAGAAGTTGGCCAAAGAATAATGAAAACCACTGCGGTTTCTGGAAAAATAAGGAGCAAATGAACATGGCTTGAGTGAAGTTGATCAGAGAGCAATACCAAAACAACCATGATATGCTTAAGTGAAGAATCCATCAACATACTGATTGACCAGCTAAAAACATAAAACTGGTATGATATTTAAACTAATAATTGATAAACATACCAATTTCTCTGTTGCTAAACTTCTGAATCCAATCTGAGATTACATCCTGCAGTGTCCTTCCCATCTGCCTAATACACCTATCTGTTATCTAGACGACAGAACTGGAAATCAGATCAAATCTTTCAATAAGAAAATAAAGTTTAATACAAAAATTTACATACAGCTTGTTCATGCCGATTCATTTCATGCGTCAAAAATGGAATCCTTGTAATTACGTGTTCTGAGATCTGTGGAGCAAACAGATCAGTTTAGTTATAGAATTTAAAACTACCGTATCAACAATTACAGTAGATAGGTGATAAATAATGAAGCAGCTACGGTGAAGTCACATCTCCAACAACTGATTAATGAAACAGTAGAGATAAGGACAATAATAGAAAATATAACACTCATTGATCCTCAGGCACGACATGCTAACCAAAGACTACTAGTTTCAATTTTGAATAATACAACATTATAAATATTACTAGGAGGAGCATTAGATAGTAAAAATTTGCAACCAAAGAAGGATAAAATAAAGAAAATAGCTGACTCACTGGTTTAAAAGTCTCACGGCTGCAAACAGCATGTGAATCACCATGAGTAATCATTTGAGAATGCCAATAAGCACCGCAGAATGCCCTATCACATCCCAAACCTGCGAAAGAATGTAGAATAAAAAATGTTCAGCATTTGAGACTGCTAATTTCTTACAGTTATAAAAAGCTAAAAATAAAATCTTCCAACATTCCTATGCATAACAAGAACTTGGGTAAAAAATAAAGTAGCACATCAGAATGGGTTTTAGAACAATAGAAAAAAGGAACAGAATATGTAAATTTATCAACAACCATAACCGCAAGGTTGTTATGCACTCAATTCAATCAGAGGAAATTATTATTTTTTGTTCATAAGCAGCATTTTTATTAATAATAATGAATCACCCATGTTAAGCACTCAATTAAAGAAGAGAAATCTCATTATTTTTAATTCCTAAGCACTCTGCACAGTAATAATGATGAATCAACTATATACTACAGGGTGTTTACATAGACTAAAGAGACCAGAATTCTTAACCAGAAAAAAGAATAAAATATATGGCTCTAGATAAATGCAATCAAATAACAAAATATAATGACCCAAGGAAGGACATTCATATTCCTAAGAAAATACTTATTTCCAAACAACTTAGATGTGCCCACATAGTTCTCTCTCTTCAGAAGAGCTCAACTCCAGATACATAGCCTATCAATATCGATGCATTAATGGATTAGGTTCAAGTTTCTTACATAGATTAGAAATTTTAATCCTTTTAACGCAAAAAAAACTATATTGTTTAACAACATTATCATAATTTTTAGTAACTTCAGAATTTTATTCATTTTAGCTATCTAGTTCTCTTATTCATGTTAGTGTTTTCTAGTTTAATCCTATTTAAGAAAAATTAATTAGAAAGCACTATAAATGTTTTTCTAATCCTTTTAGTTGTTTGATACAATCAAGCCATTAATTATGATACTTAAAACTTTTAGGTATGATATCTAAGAACTCAAGATGTAATATCAAAATTCTAACCCCAAATTCTGAAATAGGCAAAATTAACTGTAATTTATGCTTACATCATACAATCAAGTATAGGCTTGGATCCATCACGCAAAATCTGTCATCTATTTCCCAAGGTTTATCCAACTTACAACTTTTTCATTTCGCTAGGAACTTTTGATAAACTTCATCAACTGAAGCAACATAGGCATCTTTCAAGACATCACTAAACGTGGTGGAATTGCTGTTGCTTTAGAAACTATGTAAATGCAGAAACACTTGTAGGCAAGTTGGAGGCTCAAAATTTCCCAGAATAAGAAATAAAATTTTTATGTTGGAAACTCCACTAATATCATCAAGAAAATTAAGCAAATCAAGCAAATAAGCATTAGGTCTGATTTTTCTAAAGTTGGGGTAAGGGATCAAGGCTCAATTATGCAATTTTTTTTAATGCGAAGGCTATACTCTAGTTTAAGACGAACCATAACACAATCACCACACCAAACTCTGGACCTAATGATATAAATCAATAGTAAGTTTATAACCTGCCTTGCTCATAGCAATATGACATCTAAATCTCGACAAGCAAATTTTGCAATGTTCGGCAAGAATTCAGTAGGCTCAGAAAGGCATGCATCATGATAAGTGGTAGGAAATGAAGAGGTGCATGAGGTGAGTAGCTATAAACAATGGTGAAAGGGCTATTTCCTATAGAGTGGTTAATAGAGTTATTACAAGCAAACTCGGAAACTGGTAACATTACATCCAAAGAACCCTACTTGTCTCCTACAATACACCTAATAAAATTACCAAACCACCACTGACTACCTTAGTTCATCAGTTTTTGCCTAAGAGGTAGAAGAGAATTTCAAGGAGGTATGTCAATTCTTCCAGAGTCTTAAAAAATAACTTGAAAATTCAACATCCCTATAAAACACTATGGTAAAAGATAAACATGCAGTTTTGCCTACTTCTCTAAAGAATATCTAAACGATATGAGTCTCACCTCTGTTCGATCACAAGGATAAAAATGAGAAATTTTTAAACCCTTATCCACACATACAAGAAAAGAATCATGACCTGTATCTGAGGTACTCATAACACCAAAATCTTCGAAATTCTGGACAGAAAATGGGTGAAGGAGTATAAATTTTAGTGTTTTTTCTACCCATCGTTTGCTGACATGTTCTTACGCAAAACAATTTTCGCAATATTCCCCCAATAGATGGCCAATAAAACCTATCTTAAAAAAAAGTGAAGTTCTTACCTCTACCAAAATGCTTGCATGCATCTCCCGAATAAGATAATCTCTGACGGAACTACATGGAATGCATATATGACAAAATCTATCCAACCTCCACTGCGAACATCCTTGATCTCATGCTAGATACTGCTAAAAAATAAGGACAAGTAGAATGTTCATCCTTCATCTTATCAAATGATTTGAGAACTCGTTTTACGTAATACAATAACTACCCCACAAATTACATCAGCCAAACTCTTCCCAAATACCTGAATGGGTGAAGGGATAAAGCTACAGTCATTATGAAACCCAACTTAACATACCAATGGCTCAATTTCTTTTGTAAGAAAAATTTTTTCAAACTAAATGGTTCTGTTACAAAAGGAACTCTTCAGGAATGAGGTAATATCTCCAATGGCAAAGAGATTATACAACCTAGAATTGTTTTTACGATAAATAGAACATCACTTAGCCTGATAAATTTTCCTACTAAAGAATGCAATAGGGTCCCCTCCTTAGGCATCATGTGCAACCTCAAAAACCCTTTCCAAAATATGTATGCCTTAAACCAAGAGCAAAATTCTGGTTCTTGATCTTCAAAAATGCCTTAGTAACTGAAAAGCTCCACTTAAGTTCCTATTTAACTAATTTTTAGCCATGACATAACTTATGAATCTCTTACAAAAGGTACCTAGACCATGAAAGATGCGAATATCCATTAGAGTCCTATTCAAGCCACCCTCTAATAGCTCTAATCTTTTCAAGCTCAGTTGCTATACTCGGTAAAAATTATGAATATTAGAAAGAGCACATGAAATCATATGCAACCTCAAAAACCCTTTCCAAAATATGTATGCCTTAAACCAAGAGCAAAATTCTGGTTCTTGATCTTCAAAAATGCCTTAGTAACTGAAAAGCTCCACTTAAGTTCCTATTTAACTAATTTTTAGCCATGACATAACTTATGAATCTCTTACAAAAGGTACCTAGACCATGAAAGATGCGAATATCCATTAGAGTCCTATTCAAGCCACCCTCTAATAGCTCTAATCTTTTCAAGCTCAGTTGCTATACTCGGTAAAAATTATGAATATTAGAAAGAGCACATGAAATTGTAACGAAAAACATTTAAAATTGAACAAAAAGTTTAGCTTCCCTAAAGATTATAGAGACTTGCCTAAAATGATCTAATCACTCTTTGATTTGCTATAATTAAGATTTCATCAAAATAAACCACAAGAAAGTTCCCAATGAAAGGCCTCAAAATGTGGTTTATTGCCCTCATGAGAGAGCAAGTTTAACCCTCGATAGACTTTGGTTGTTAAAGGTGATCTTTCATTTGTCACCAAGTTTACACCATTCAAACAATAGATTTTGGTTGTTAAAGGTGATCTTTCATTTGTCACCAAGTTTACACCATTCAAACAATAGATTTTGGTTGTTAAAGGTGATCTTTCATTTGTCACCAAGTTTAACCCTCGATGCACCCAGTGCGAAGATATATCTTGAAAACCTAGACTTAGTAGTCATTTATTAATGGCTCAACTATCTACACATTCTCCAAGAACCACCTTTCTTAGGGTTCAACAAAGTGCGTACAACACAAGGGCGAGGACTATAACTG